GTGTAATTTGTTGTAATTGTTCAAGTGATTTGGCAAGCCAAAGTGTGTCATCCATATATGCAAGTACAGAGGTAGATGTTGATGTTTTCTTGTATTTTGTAGGGTTGAGTTGTGTAATCTACTCAACTGTGGAAGCGTATTCAGTATATGATTTGTTGATATAAGTAATTAAAAGATCATAATATATATGCCAGAGAAGAGGGGTTATTGTTTCTCCTTGATCAATTCCGTCTTGTATGTTGTAGTAAGGTATTAGTTCATAGTTGGTAATAACCTGGTTTGTACGATTTTGCAGCAGGTTGGTAATAATTTGTACAAGTTGTGTAGGTATATTTAAGCGTTGCAAAGCTTTGCTAAAGAGGTTTATGTTAACAGAGTCATAGGCTTTACTCATATCCTGTGATAGGATCCATATCTGTTTTTTAGTACATTTGGCATCTTCTATAAAGTTGTTAAGTATGTGTATCAGATTGTTAGTGGAATTGCTAGGAAGTGCAATGTAGTTATGAGGGTTAAGAATTGGGTATGATGTGAAGATTTTAGTCAATCAGTTGGTAAAGATTTTAGTGTAGAGTTTTTTGATATGTTCTATGAGGCTAATAGGGTGGGTGTTGTTAAGATTGCTATCAAAGTGGGTTTTTTTGATATAGGATAGATTTTACAGTTTTTCCATTGTTTAGGTATGTTTTGTGTTATAAGACATTGATTGAGCAATTTAGTAATTGCAGTTAACATATTAGATCCTGTGTGTTTGATCATCTTATAATTAATTCCAGATGGCCACAGGCTTTATTGTTTGAAAGTTGTTGTATAGTTTGGATTACTTCTTCTGTGCTGATTTCTTTGAGTATAGAATTGTACCATATAGAGTTAATAGAGGAGATAAGTTTATATTCTGAGTGCCAGTATTAATTAAAGATTGTTTCATTATAAGGTGAGTGGGCTGTCCATTCATTAAAGTGGTCTGTGACGTGTTTTTTGATATTTACTGGGTCTGTAATGATGCCAGTATCTGTTTTGATATTTTGAAAGTATACAGTGTCTTTGTGTCTGTTGAGTATACTATTTATTATTTTGGTTGGTTGTGAGAGTAGTTGGTCACATCTTTTGTCTATTATATTATTAATGTGTTTGCATAAATGTTGTGCATTTTCTAGATTTCTGGCATTATATATTGTTTTCCAGTATATTTTTGTTTGTTGTAGCCATGTTGTAAGTTCTGTTTGGTAGGTAGGTGGAGGGTTAATAGAGAAATCGTGTGTAGTGTTAATGTGGTCGATTAAATTTAGAATGTCATTAGGTAGGTTGATGTTGTGAGAGAAAACTCTTTTTGTATAATACATAATGTTTCCAATAGTTTTGAGGTCTTTATGAAGTTGTGTTGCTTTAGGTGTAAAAGTGTAAAATAAGTTTTTTACTGTATATTTCTTGTTAGGAATATGTTGTATTGCAGCATTGATGATGCAGGTATATATTTTATGCCATGTTTTTTTTAAACTTTCATTTGTGTTGATAGTCAGTGGTACCTGGTGTCGAGTCATATTGGAGTTAATTTGGTTAGTAAAGTCTTTTCATTGTTTTTTAGACATTTGTTTGTATTCATATATTCTGCATTTACATTTGGACTTGTGGTTGGTTTGTGATAGGGCAAAGGGAAATATCCAATTAGATATTAAAATGTGATGATTGCTGTGAGTTGAAGATAATGGGTTGTCAAGTTTAAAGGAGTGTAGGTAGGGTATAAGGGTGTCATTAGTCCAAATATAGTCAATTCTACTTTGGTATCTGGTGCTATGCCAGGTGTTTTGTAAGTTATTAGTATGGTTTGCCAGATCATACATGTTAGTATTATGTAGGTAGTTGATGAGTTGGAATTTGGTTGCTGATGAGGTAGTGGTATTGTTATTAACATTAAAATCACCTAAGATAATGAGTTGTAGGTTGTTGATTAAAGCTTGTTGTATTTATGTAATGACTGTGTCTTGTGTAAACTTTCGGTCAGCATTTTTAGTAAAAGAAAGATATACAGAAATAATTCTAAGTTTATAATCATGCTTGAAAAGTAGATCAATTGATATTGCTCCTCCCGGATGAGTAAGAATTTTGTGTATATAAAGTTGGATATAATTACGAAGCATTATATATGTTCCCTCTTTGGATGTGTCTGAGTTAGCCTAATAATATCTGAATTGTTGATTATTGAAGAATTTTGTAGGTGTAGTATTAGCTATTTTAGTTTCTGTTAAGCTAATAATGTGTAGGTTGTTAGTGAGGCAGTAGTCTTCCCAAAATAGTCGCTTTTCTTGTGTGTTGTACCCCTGGACATTGTGAGTTGCAATGTTGAGTTTGAATGCGGATTCCTGTGTATTATTGAGTTCAGATTCATTATCAAGAGATAGAGGTGTTGCTTCTTATATACTATGTTTCTGATAAGAGTAGTCATGTGAAGAAGTTGGTTGTGTTGCTAGAGTATTAGACTGTTGAGATGGTATAATTATAGACTGAGATGATGGTTTACCGTTAGATTTATTAAGTTGAGTTGGAACTGAAGATATATCATTGGTGGTTAGCTCTGGTAGGTATAGAGGAGTTAAAGGTGGAGTAAGCGGGTTATTAGCTAAAAAGTTGTTAAAATTGTTTATAGAGAATCTCTTATTAGTATTAGATCTAAGAGGTAAGTGGTGGTTTGTCTAGTTGAAGAGGTGGTTTGTCTGGTCGAAGGGGTGGTCAAAGTGTTGGATTGTTGGATCAAAGTAGTAGATGGTTGGGTCGAAGTGGTGGATGGTTGGGTTGAAGGAGTGATAGATGGTTGGGTCAAAAAAGCAATTGACAGTAAATTAATAGATGGTTGCATCAAAGGTGTAGTGGATGGTTGAGTCGAAGAAGTTGTGGAAGTAGTTGTGGATGGTTGGGTCGAAAGAGTTGTGAATGGTTGATTCAAAGGAGTAGCAGAAGCTGCCAATTGAGAAGGTTGAGTTGTTCGTCGGGTCCTTTTTGTTCTAGCCATGGTTAAAAATAATTTTTTTTTAAAAAACAATCTAGCGAAGTTTGGAGAAAGAAAACTTGAAAGAGAGAAAATTGAAAAAAAAAGTGTTCGATTTGGTGTTATATTTATGAAAATTTTTTAAATTCCGATTGCGTTGAAAAAAAAAATCAATATAGTAAGGGAGTCATTTAACAATTACAAGTTCTAAAGTAATTGTACAGAGTTTATACTATGATTACTTTAGAACTTGTAATTGTCAAATAACTAAAAAAAAAAATCGACTTATAGTATATAGTTAATGTCACGAAAATAATACTCAATCATATAAAATTTGGCACTTTTAAATTAATATGAAATAAAAAACTCTTTCCGTCAATCACTTACACAAAATTTAACTAAAAATTCGCCAGTCAAAAATTGTTAATAACACATTATTTTATTAAGATAACTGCCTTTGGCACTCTAAATAAATTTGCCCAGCTC